AATTGTCCCTACCGTTGTGAATATGAGCAAAATGAGATAAACTGCGAGAGAAGCATCCAGATCATTTTTCTTTCACCCACCTGAGCAATCAGACGGTTTAGATTCGTGTAAGTGGGTCGTGCCAGGTCCAAATTCCTTCTACAGATGTCATAAATGGCTTCATTGTCCACCATAAAAGAACAATCCGAATGTTCAAGAGTAGTATGTGTTGTGAGAATGGAATTATACGGTTCGACCATTGCAGTAGAAACCTGTTGTGAAGAGTTAGTTTAAGAGATAGTGAATTTTAGGAAAAATCAACCTGGTTCTGACCTGAGGTGCTGGGTAGATGCAGAATTCCAGCTTACTTTTCTTACCGTAATCAACCGTTAATCGTTCCATTAGCAATGATGTGAATCCAGAGCCTGTACCACCACCGAATGAATGGAATATGAGGAAGCCCTGAAGCAGCACTGAATACTTTTCATTAAGAAGTGAGACAATACAGTTATAGTAGTACAGAATGCTAACGTGCTAGTTTGTTTTTGTTTTGCTGAGGCTCAAGAGTAGAGTCAGGCATCTCTTTGGCAGGAGGCCTGCCTGTACAGGGCCTATACTCACTCATCCCCAAAAGATTCCATTAAAAACCAAAGCTTTCCATATTGTCTTACAGCTATATATAATCTGGTTTTTTTGGACCTTGAGAAGGCTATTGTATATTTACGTATTCAGCAAAAGTCTTCGTGCGGAAAATTCCAGTCTAATGATTGATCATGTCCTCTCGATCCGTTTTGAAGGCACAGTTTATGACGAAAATTGTTTCTTAGATAATTTTTGGGAACTGTGCCTTTGAGGAATTTCACCCGAACCGTTTCTCAATTTCGACTGATGCCTCTCTCAGCTTGCTGGGACTGGGTACTATTTGCTAGGTACTTAATTTCAGGGCCCACCAGGACTGATGTCATATGTCAACACGTGTCAATCATAAGCCAGAAACGTTGCCCACATTGTTACCTAGCAGCGCCCGAACGACAATTTTGCGGGTCATGAGCTCTTTGGCTACCAACTAGTATTCAAGAAATCCAGTTGAAAAGTAAGATATCTGCATGCTGAGATGATGGGCATAATATTAACGTTATAGAGATGTTTTTGAGGTAAAAAAGCTTAGCGGTCATTAGCGGATGGTGTAACAAACGCATGAAGGTAAGTTCTTCAGTGCTTCCATAACCGAGCAAAATGGTGTATAATCATTGGAACGACCAAAAAAAAGCATACCTGAAGACCTCTGCATGCTTCGACCAGACGACGGATTCTGTCCATACAAACGTCGATCAGTTCTTTACCGATAGTGTAGTGACCACGGGCATAGTTGTTTGCTGCATCCTCTTTGCCCGTAACCAATTGTTCCGGATGGAATAACTGCTTGTAAGTACCGGTTCGAATTTCATCTAAACGTAGCATAAAATTCCGAGCCGAAACCTTACTGCCGCATAGAGAAATGAGAATAGTTACCTTGCTTTACTGGGAAACACATTCCAACTATTTTGAATCTTTAGGGTCTGAGCTGAGGTACGAGTTGATAGACGCGAAAGCCTTTTTTGAAGGTACAGTTCACGATAAATTTAGGGTACCCGTTTTTTGACGGGAAATGATAGATCCACTCCAGAATAGTGCGACAATAACGAAGAAAGCGCAAAAAACGACATATAAAAAGGAATAAAAAGGTTCAAAAAAGAGGAGTAAAGGGGGGCTGGACGAGTTCCACAGTGAAAAACAGCGGTTAAGGAAAATGTGACGCAATGTCTGCAATTGCACACAACACACCCTAACCGCTGATTTTGCCTTCACTGTTGGGCAAACACTGGGCAAAAAGCTGATTTCGTGCTGAAGGGTGGATCCTGACGCGAATACATGACTCTGTACGCGTCTACATCTCGTATGACGTGACATCGATCGGACTCCTGAGATTTTTTCCCTAGGCCTTTATGATAGCATGCACAGCACAGTTTGGGCGGAAAACGACCTCGACAGGGTGTTACGAAAGCTCAAAAATTCCCTTGACGGCGTACACTCCCAAAAGTGGCCGTGTTATGACGGCTTTGTTGTGTTGTGGCATCACTCACCATAAAGCTTAGGATGCCTGAGAATGGCACGCTTATGTGGGAGACATCCAGACGGTTACAAACACATAATCTCGGGCAAACACCTTTCTTACTCGTTTTTTTTAAGTATTTTATTACTCTGGAAACGTCGTTTTTCGCACTTCCTTCGTCCTTCGGAATATTATGCACCACATATTCCATTATTTCGTTCTAGCTAGATAAGCCAAAGTCATGTGAAATGTGTCTCGAAAAAAAAGCGTTTATCCTACTTTATGCACAAAATACTCACTCACTTTCACGAAAATACTTTCCCAGACCAGGAGGAGAACGTGATTTTTATGAGGTTCTCTATCCTCGATATTAAGGATGAAGGATGGAGTCTTTAGCCGTAAATCAATGCAGTTATTGGGATGCTCCCCCCATTGTTATCCCATTCTGACTTTTTGAAGGCGTATTTGGCCTAACCAATGACTTGGGTTGGCTTCCGATGTACAGCCAGTGCTTTTGTTCTCCCAGAGGGGCCTAGTACCAATAAACGGGAGACGGGCGTTAGGAACGATTTTGGGTAATCGATTTGCCGCACGCGCCTGTCGCGGACCACTCATTCGCCGTTATTACAGCTCTAGCGTTCTTCGTACAGCTCAATCGATATGCGATCATTATTTTATGCATAATTCTACTATTAGTACTTTGTTCTTGTACTTCTTACCTACTGCTGCA